TCCTATCCTATTTCATAGGATTTTGACTTGACTCTAATCTTGTACTCTTAATTAAAACGTCTGTTCCTGAAATCCTGTCAAAATCAAGGGCGGATTCAGGGGGAGCAAAGGGAAGCTTTTGAGCAGAAAAAGTTGACTGTTTTTTGCTATTTCAATGTTGTTTATAACAAAAAAAGCCCCCCCCCCCCCCCCCCTTAAGATTTCAGCTGAATCCGCACTTGATAAAAGTGCATTACGTATTACTGACGTAATATCTCGTAACACTTCATTGGCGGTAATAACGTTCTTACGTGAAGTAGCAGCCAGTCGGCGTGTTCGTATGAAATTTCAAAAGGCGGAAGAATAAGCCAGCGATGTCCCAACTCGGCGTGAACGTTTCATTTGATAGGGAATACGATAGGTGTGCAATGGGTGGACACAGGGTGCCCGTAACCCCATCTTTCAAATCACAAATAATTTTTTTTCAATAGGCAGTCGAGGACTGAATGTGACTCAGGCCATTAAGAGATTTAGTAAACTTTGAATACACTATCTTCAGTATACAACGTTTTCTGAATCCTCTGTATACGCTGCAAGGAACTGGGAACATCACGTGACGATAAACCATTTCATTGCCTATGAATACATTACAGGCGTCGACTCCCAGGGGCCAAGGAACCTATTGTGATGGTTGATCATTCTTCCCGTGGGGCCTGACGCGGGGCGCCCTGTTTCCTTGCCTAATAAACATATCCGTTTGAAAGATTTGGAATAGAGATTTTTTCATCCAAGACATGGAGCGGTCCTTAGAGCTTTAATTTAATAGCTGCAGTCAAAGACATCTTTCTGTATCTGTTGACTTATAAACTTTTATATCATCAAGAACGAAAATATGAAACGTTCTTGAGGCCGGTCTTTAATTGTGCTCCGTTGAATTCCAGCAAATATCTGCCTAGTTTGTAAACCGCTTACATTAAGAATATTAATGAAATTTGTGCCATCCGAATACTAACTAGACGCTCTTAGAGCGTGAAGTCGGGCTATCTATTTTAAAAATTGAAAAAGACAGGATATTTACTCCGGGCTCGATATTTCTAGCATTTTGACGTCGTTACACCACTGAGCTGTTAGAAAAGAATATCACGGCGTATGAATAAACAATTAGAATTATGAACAATAATTAATATAAAAAAACTAGTGAAAGTAACGCATTCTTGCTTTCACTATGTATAAGAAGTAAAAAAATAGGCATGTAACTTTGGAGTGAGGTAAACGTTCCTTGCGCAATTTCTTTATATAACCCTTGCAGATCATGGGAATGCTATTGGACTCGTGCAATCACTTTTTCCATTGATAAATTTCCTATTCTTCGATTCAGTATACGTCACAGCGGCCATCTTGGATGAACTTCAACAAAGCATTTCTCATTAGTATCTATTGTTTATTCCTCCAACATGGCCRCCCGGCCCTCCCTAACACACAAGGCATGATTTTCACTTGTGATAAATTCTTTTTCTAGCGTACCGATTTTTATATCTCTCATTTGTTCAATTATAAAATTTCGGTATGATATATCAATATAAATAGGCAGTCGAAGACTGCATGTGACTCAGGCCAAAAGATTCATTTTACTTCGAGTTTAATGGGTTACAAAATGGCAATTCTAAATTGAATTGCTTTCCTTGGAAGTGGCTTGACCACAACACGGACCTGACAAATTCACTCTGAAACCATAAAAACTCCGTTTGAATGGTGATAGAAAGATCCACAACGCATTTCACTCTTGGAATGCACAAGATCTCAGTATAGTCCCGGAATTTTGTTCAGTGTTTAAAAAAAAATGTCTTTAGTTAATTAAAGCTAATTAAAGATACTTTACTGTATTTAGGTTCAGGTATTCTTCCTTTTGACCAATAATTTCGTTGACAATTCATCACCGCTCGGCATAGTGTTCAACCGACGTGGCACTTTGGATTTTTCTAGGGAGGTCTGTCCAGAGACGAAAAAATTCTAAGTGCCACGTCGATTGTATACTATGCCGAGCGGTGATGAAGCTTTGAATTGTCAACGAAATTTGGTCAAAAGGTAGAATACCTGAACCTAAATACAGCAAAGTGTCTTTGATTAGACTAGATTTATTTTAGTAAATTATTTTGACTCCCGGACATCTAATTTGGCGCGAAAAATTAGATGTCCGGGAGTCAAAATAATGTAATAAAATAAATCTAGTCTAATCAAAGACACTTTGCTGTATTTAGGTTCAGGTATTCTCCCTTTTCACCAAATTTCGTTGACAATTCAAAGCTTCATCACCGCTCGGCATAGTATACAATCGACGTGGCACTTATTTGAAATCGCACTTTATCTAACCCGATCTCATGTTAAGGTCCATAATGTCTCATAAATCATTGGAAACTAAATAAAGAGTCCACAAGCGATTGCATTTAGAACGAAAATTCCTCGCTTTATTTGCGCCTGGCATACTATAATCAAGGTTGTTTTTGTGAGACTTAACGTCACACTGCCGGCAACGAACTCGATTGCAATTCCACACTCACCCCACCCCCTCCCCTTTCTCATCTCTCGCCCTCTCCCTCTCGCTACTGGAACGTCGTGCAAGTACTATATATGATAATTTTTGAGCTGCGCGTTGATTGGCTCGCTGATCCCTAAGGATTTTGGTGACGTCATATATTAGCATAGAACTTCGCCGAAGAGACTACCCCCATTAGATATCGAGATATCTATAAGTGTCTTCATAGTACGATTGTCTAAGAGGGTAGCTAAATGTATGCTCTAGTGGGCGGCTACCCCCTCACTCCCTGGCCTTTTGGTTAAGACTAAGTTTTATGTTCACTCGGGATAGCGTGGAAGGGCCGAAATCTCTAACCGTAACGTAAGCCGATTCGCCGCCTCAGCTTCATAGAATGTCTCGGGGGAATCGTCCCATCTTTTTAGTTTTTTTTATTTTCATTATTTCTTGTGTATTCAGGGGGGGGGAGGTACATTTTCTCCTGGAGTGAAAGTTCTGAGTTCGAGCTCTGCTTCTGGGATTTCTCTTTTTTTCGCTTGTTTATTGTGGTTTTTTTTTTTCGTTGTTTTTTGTTTTGTTTTCTTCTTTCTTGTTTTGTTTTCTTCTTTTTTTGCTGTTGTCAATTCGTTTGTTTTTCTCTAGAGATTTTCTCTTTTCAACTTAAACATATCAAGAACTCGCAAGGAACGCCTGCTATGAGTGGATTGTTACGGTTCGGTCACTCGTAACTTAGCGTTACGCTCGGCTCCCGCTCAATTAAGGTCTTCGATGCACTAAATGAGCGGGAGTTTTAAAATGTACAAAACAAATCCCAAAATTACAGGTACGCGATTCATATTATAACGTTCTATTTCGAGCGCCTTAATTGGTTTCTTGTCACACTTTAGCGTTACGCCCAACTCCCGCTCAATTAAAGTCTTTGATGCACTAAATGAGCGGGAGTTTTAAAATGTACAAAACAAATCCCAAAAATACTATCTAAGTATAAGAAAAAATCTTTTATAACTTTATTAGCAATCTAAAAAAAAGATGTTGATTCATATTCGAGTGCCTTAACTGGTTTCTTGTCACACTTAGCGTTACGCTCGGCTCCCGCTCAATTAAGGTCTTCGATGCACTAAATGAGCGGGAGTTTTAAAATGTACAAAACAAATCCTAAAAATACTATCTAAGTATAGAGTGCATGTCATAAATGTGTGAAACAATAGCGTAACTATTTTTTGGGCGTATCGGTATTAAGTTGCATAGCTGCTAACTTCGTAGTTATTTTCTTCATATAAGAATTGATTCAGGCGTAAAAACAAAGACACAAAGAAATCAAAGATAGACATTTCTTTGTGTCTTTGTTTTTACGCCTGAATCAATTCTTATATGAAGAAAATAACTACGAAGTTAGCAGCTATGCAACTTAATACCGATACGCCCAAAAAATAGTTACGCTATTGTTTCACACATTTATGACATGCACTCTAAGAAAATTTTTTTTTATAACTTCATTAGCAATCTAAAAACAAAGATTTGATTCATATCATCACGTTCTATTTTGGAGCACCTTTGGTTTCTTGTCACACTTAGCGTTACGCTCGGCTCCCGCTCAATTAAGGTCTTTGATGCACTAAATGAGCGGGAGTTTTAAAATGTACAAAACAAATCCCAAAAATACTGTCTAAGTATAAGAAAAAATCTTTTATAACTTTATTAGCAATCTGAAAAAAAAGATGTTGATTCATGTTATCACATTCTATTTCGAGCACCTTTGTTTCGGCTCCCGCTTAATTAAGCTAAGGTCTTCGATGCACTAGATGAGCGGGAGTTTTAAAATGTACAAAACAAATCCCAAAATTACTCGATTCATATTATAACGTTCTATTTCGAGCGCCTTTGGTTTCTTGTCACACTTTCGATAATCACACGATGTCACACGCGATAATCGGCACTATTGCTATCGCGCATCTCAAATCTTACGTGCGATTGATGCAACGATGGAAAATCGCCGCGAAGTTGCAGCCAATTTTCAAGCATGTTCGATAGCCTCGAGAATCGCTCTGCCGAAAGTTTACTTTGTGACCATGATTTTTAAGATTTATGGGGGTAGTTCTTTTGTACATTTGTGCCATGTACAAGAGCTTTAGTACTTCTTTCACCTGATGTGATCACGGCATTCACCCAGAGGACTCAAGAAAATTATATAACACTTTGACTGTAGTCACCAATCGATCACAAAGGAATTCCCTCGATGACGTTCAGACATTGCTTAAATCAACAAGAAAATATGATAAATCAAAATAAATTAGTTAAGGCAGGCTCCTGGCTAAGGGACTTAAGATAGGAAGCCCGAGTAATGAATGGAATTTTGAGATTCACACTCGGGYTTCCTTTGAAAAAGACTCAAAAATAATTTTTGCTTTTTATACTGATCTTTTTTCGAAGATTCTTTTCAAGTAATAAATTTAAATTCTATGCTTAAAGCAATACTTTCCATGGTTTTATTACATCATATTGTGGAGTACATGCAGGTAAAATGACGGAGAGTAGGTTTTGATCGAGACAACAAGTCTGAAATCAAGGTTTTTATCTCCTAATGACAATATTCGGGATTAATGTTTGTATCAGTATGGGGATAGTTTACATAATGTTTAAAAAGCTATAGATTTCTCCATATAAGGGCAATACTGTATATACCATATTAGGACATATACTACCAAATAAGCGCATTATCCCGCATTTTAGTACGAATATTTTCAAGAGTAAATTCAGTCGACAGAGGCCTTGATCTCTGAAAAGAGATAATTTCTCGCTTTTCTCTCTCAGGTCCATCTCCTTTGTCAGGAATTGTTCCATATGCATGACCATTTGCTATTGGTTGTTCCACCTCTGACGTMATTTCCGCAGTGGGACTATGATGTGGATTTCCGGGGATGAAATCGTCACTTCCGGTAACGAGGAATTTGTCTGAAGTGTCTTTGGGTTTGGCGATGTATTCTTCATCGTTGATTGACAGGCTTGTGGTACGTGTAAGTTTACGTTTCGACATACGGTAGAGACGACGAAAGATGTTGAGATCGTTAGTTTCAACWGGAAATGATATTAAGTCTTTTGCATTGTACGGTTCTGCTTCTGTTGGTGGAGTTTCCTACGAAAAAAATACAATACAGTCAAACCTCCATGAAGCGGTCACCTTGAGGAAAGACCAGGTGCCCGCTTAATAGAGGTTGACCGTCTAATAGAGGTCATATTTATATCATTCGTGCGGGTTCCCTGTGCTTTTTTGTTTTGGGCTTCCTTTCGCTTCCTTTAGCGAATCCATGCCATATGTGGAAACAAACAAAATGGTGGATTGTTTAGAAGTTTTCTAGAAATCTTTTTAAATCTGATCACTAAAGAGTTTGTAAATTTCATGCTATATGTTAAACTGTTTTCGTTTTTAAAATCACCTCTTACGACACACTACACCAAGACTTTGAATGAAACATGTTTCGTCTATTAGACCTTTTCAATCATTTAGAAGTGTTTTCTCTATAATATCTGCAGGTTTCAGACGATTTCAAGCTTTGAAAGCTGAGGAAATCGACAAAAACCATTCCTATTGAACTTCCAAATAAGGTACGATTACCATATATGGCTGCTAAACGAAGGACGACTTTTGTGGGGCATTGATATGCACAGTAAATATATTGGAGAGGGCCTGCTTAATAAAAGTTCGACTGTAGAAGATTTATCAGTGCAAGAATAAACGTAAAAAAGAACAGCCTACCCTTGGTTTGGTTGCTTTAGTTTTCAAGGCAGTCAAGATGGACGACACATTTGTWCGGAAGGGTGTGGTGTCGTTGCTGTTCACCTGGAAATGTAAATGGTTTTTATTTATGATTGACAGATGTCTTACAGATCTATCATTGTGTACGGTATGTTTGTGTGTGTCGCTTAGCTACAAACTCTAACGAAATGGTTACTTCTTTATAAAATGGTCTCAGCATTGTACGTAGATTAAAATAATTAAACTCGCTTTGCTCGTTTATATAGCATGATGAGATCGTCGTGTTACCAATGAAAGTCTTTACCTCGTATTGATTTCGCGATGATGTTCCGATTCTCAACGACCTCCCGGAAAACATCGACGGTCTCATCGACTGCGTTCTCGACACGCCGGCTCCCCTGCCCGACGGACCCCCGACAGCTTCCGATGAAACTTTCTGCACAGGTGCCGAGTTTGTTCGTTGTAGCGGTCGATGTCCCCTCGTTGCCGAAGACGCTGGTCTATTGTAGCCGTTCCGTTGATAATTGTCGAATGAAGGTGTRAGAGAGCTGTCGAAATTACTTAAATAGTTTGTCAAGCTGACTCGGTTATTGTTCAAAGCRTTTGARGAATATGTTCTGATTYGAAGTCCACGTTCCGATTGRCGRTACGCTTCGTATGAAGGATATACCATGCTACGAGAYCTCTCTAGTCGATCTTGGTTGTCTTTGACGGATTGATTGACAGCTTCAAGRGTTTGTGATTCGCTGAGGTTGGGGTTACTGTCTCGTATTCCTTTCTCGATAGCCTTTCTTTCAAACCGAACTCTTTTTAGACTTGATTGGTGGACGAAGATATTGGCAACCATCCCATTAAGCGTCTTGTGGGTCGCCTATGGAAATTACACAAAAAATGTATGTTAAAATGAACTGACTGCGGGGGAGGGGGAACGAATACTCAGGAATAACTTATGGACAATGTACGCCATTTTGTACAAAAAGGAAGTTACCAGGAATGAGCTGTGCCCTTGTRAAACACAGGCAAATTTACGCCGAAAACGCTAAAATATATTATATGTTATATATTATATATTTTCCCTTCACAGTTAAAGATTTTTTGACCTCACCTGCAGTAGAAATTGAGCACATGCTTCGTTTCCAGTCTCCACGGCAATGTCGTACGCAGTCCTCCCATGACGATCATACAAGTCTGCCTTAGCACCACTAGAACACAAAGCATTCAATTAGTCATAGCTTTAGAACGAGTTTGAGATTGTTACGAGTTTAGGATCCCAAAGAATCTTGGGATTGCAACTATTGGGACAAAGTTTGAGGCGTGTTTCACAAGAGTGAACGATTTATAYAGTTGTATTATTACGTACAATCTCATGAGCAGTTTCACAACTTCTAGATGGCCGTGCTCTGCTGCAACATGTAAAGGACTGGATCCAGTTTTGCTTCTCTCGTTACCAGTTCCCCARCCATGTAGGGCAAGCCAGTTGACGCATGACCGGTGGCCTCCAGCGGCAGCTAAAGGTACAAAAATAGTCAGTCAATGATTACGCTTTTAATTTCCTTATAAGGATGGACTAACCATAATGCATTGGGGTACATCCAGATTTATCTCGTGCCAGTCCACTACAGCCAGCACACTGAATAAGGAAGGCCAGGCAGTCAAGATGGCCTTCTTGAGCCGCTGCATGTGCAGCGGTCATCCCATCGATAGATGCTTCACTGTGGACTGTAGCTGTTCTTTTAGCMAGCCATTCAAGACAGTCGAGGTGACCCTCTTGAGCTGAAATAAGGGCAAAGATAAAGGATTCTTATACAGCTGTTTATAAATAGCCTGCGTTACATCCGGAATATTCTTCGGTATATCCCGACCGGTATTTGTGAAATTTCCTGGATGTAACGCAGGCTATTTATAAAAGGTTATCAAAAACGTTGGCGAATGCACGACCGAAGGGTACTCTGGGTATTCATTATTGACTGGAATATTTAGACTCATTGCTACACACATGTCTAGGATTTATCAGTTTATGCCTAATATGACATCAAAACAACATGAAGTACAGTAACTATGTATGATCAACACGATGGAGTAACAATAATGATGAGGCAACAAAAAAACATTATCATGTAGCATTTTCGAACTTAACTTCCTAATTAGGCCTCATTAGCACTTCATAAAAGGTTACCAATGTTGTCATTTCCATGATAAATGAAGATCATCGCTGATTTTCATTTATAAATTGAATTACGATTTAAATGGCCACGAGAGTCATTTTCTGTCATCAAATTTCAATCGCGCACCCTGACGACCTTATTTATTATCAACACGAGCATTCCTATCTGTGAATATAGTTGGAAATGAGGCTTACCAGCAAAATAAAGAGGAGTCGCTCCATTGTGATCCTGCGTAAACAAATATAACAGTCAGACTTTGATAGAGAAACTCTATAGGTCGTTGAAAACAGGGATGCATGCCACTAGTACTGATGGGATTTAATGGGTGAGTCTTTGTGAAGAGGAAGCCCCGTTCCAAGGGTTAAAAAAAAAATGGCGGACCACTTTCAACATTAATCGTTATGAACTTTTTTTCATCAACGGAAAAAATCTTTTGTATTGATGCATGCTCAAGAACTGGGCTAGCTAGTTCAAGACGATTTAATATGTTTGGTCCGTCAGTTTTCGAATGAGTTCATAGCGTACCCTGAAAACCACTGATCTCGATGATCTCCTGTAGACCCATTGTAGAACTTCAAGATGGCCGCCGGCTGCGGCATAGTGCGCTGCTGAAGAACCCTCCGCTGAACTAAAGTACAATTGATATTGATATACTATTGAGCTGTTATTTTGACTGTTGTCTTTTCAGATATCATTCGTGCGGGATCCCTGTGTATTTTAGCTTCGGGCTTCCTTTATCGAATCCATGCCATATATGGAAACAAACAAAATGGCCGATTGCACAAAAGTGTTTTCGCTACAATGTCTGCAAGTTTCAGACGATTTCATGCTTTAAAAGTCAAGAAAATCGCCACAAAACAGTCCAAACGTAATCCAAATAAGGTAAGATTAAGAAATATGGCTGTTAGACGAAGGACATCTTTTCTGAGGCAATTCTTTGATATTAGTGAAACTCCATCATCAAACGTCAGTTTCTGTTGCTATCACATTATCACTATCGATCGTTCATCATATTGTTTGATAATCATCGACAACCTGGGGAGCGATTTTCCGCTGTGATGATTATCAATNGCATGACCGGTGGCCTCCAGCGGCAGCTAATAGGTACAAAAATAGTCAGTCAATGATTACGCTTTTAATTTCCTTATAAGGATGGACTAACCATAATGCATTGGGGTACATCCAGATTTATCTCGTGCCAGTCCACTACAGCCAGCACACTGAATAAGGAAGGCCAGGCAGTCAAGATGGCCTTCTTGAGCCGCTGCATGTGCAGCGGTCATCCCATCGATAGATGCTTCACTGTGGACTGTAGCTGTTCTTTTAGCCAGCCATTCAAGACAGTCGAGGTGACCCTCTTGAGCTGAAATAAGGGCAAAGATAAAGGATTCTTATACAGCTGTTTATAAATAGCCTGCGTTACATCCGGAATATTCTTCGGTATATCCCGACCGGTATTTGTGAAATTTCCTGGATGTAACGCAGGCTATTTATAAAAGGTTATCAAAAACGTTGGCGAATGCACGACCGAAGGGTACTCTGGGTATTCATTATTGACTGGAATATTTAGACTCATTGCTACACACATGTCTAGGATTTATCAGTTTATGCCTAATATGACATCAAAACAACATGAAGTACAGTAACTATGTATGATCAACACGATGGAGTAACAATAATGATGAGGCAACAAAAAAACATTATCATGTAGCATTTTCGAACTTAACTTCCTAATTAGGCCTCATTAGCACTTCATAAAAGGTTACCAATGTTGTCATTTCCATGATAAATGAAGATCATCGCTGATTTTCATTTATAAATTGAATTACGATTTAAATGGCCACGAGAGTCATTTTCTGTCATCAAATTTCAATCGCGCACCCTGACGACCTTATTTATTATCAACACGAGCATTCCTATCTGTGAATATAGTTGGAAATGAGGCTTACCAGCAAAATAAAGAGGAGTCGCTCCATTGTGATCCTGCGTAAACAAATATAACAGTCAGACTTTGATAGAGAAACTCTATAGGTCGTTGAAAACAGGGATGCATGCCACTAGTACTGATGGGATTTAATGGGTGAGTCTTTGTGAAGAGGAAGCCCCGTTCCAAGGGTTAAAAAAAAAATGGCGGACCACTTTCAACATTAATCGTTATGAACTTTTTTTCATCAACGGAAAAAATCTTTTGTATTGATGCATGCTCAAGAACTGGGCTAGCTAGTTCAAGACGATTTAATATGTTTGGTCCGTCAGTTTTCGAATGAGTTCATAGCGTACCCTGAAAACCACTGATCTCGATGATCTCCTGTAGACCCATTGTAGAACTTCAAGATGGCCGCCGGCTGCGGCATAGTGCGCTGCTGAAGAACCCTCCGCTGAACTAAAGTACAATTGATATTGATATACTATTGAGCTGTTATTTTGACTGTTGTCTTTTCAGATATCATTCGTGCGGGATCCCTGTGTATTTTAGCTTCGGGCTTCCTTTATCGAATCCATGCCATATATGGAAACAAACAAAATGGCCGATTGCACAAAAGTGTTTTCGCTACAATGTCTGCAAGTTTCAGACGATTTCATGCTTTAAAAGTCAAGAAAATCGCCACAAAACAGTCCAAACGTAATCCAAATAAGGTAAGATTAAGAAATATGGCTGTTAGACGAAGGACATCTTTTCTGAGGCAATTCTTTGATATTAGTGAAACTCYATCATCAAACGTCAGTTTCTGTTGCTATCACATTATCACTATCGATCGTTCATCATATTGTTTGATAATCATCGACAACCTGGGGAGCGATTTTCCGCTGTGATGATTATCAATCCTTGTGTACATTATTTGGAAACCGTCTGGAATTTCTATTCGCGTTGTAAGATCATTCTTAATTTCGTAAATTCGCAGACAAGTTTCRAAGGGTCGTATTAAAAAATCAAAGCGAGTTGACCTAAACTGATTTCAAACATAGCGACAGCGAAACCTGTGAATTTTTTTTAATTGCATTAAAGCTGTTTAGTACAGCGATTGAAAAAACGTCGAGTCCTAAATATTGCGATATTGAGTGTTCAAAGACCGAAAAGCATTTGCTTCTCTTGGATTCCGTCGTAGGCGAGTACGGAATTAATTACCGTCCATTGAAAAGGCGGAAAGATAAATYAATGTTTCATTTATAGATAAATTATATTGAACACGGTCATTTATATTCAGACTATAGTTTATTTTTCGCCATTTCAACAACGAATTGGTTTACAAAATCGCTGCACTCTATTTTGTGTGCATTTCTTGTCCAAAGCAGTAACATCTTTGCTGCTCATAGCACTTCCCGCGCAATTTTTCTGCCTGTGTATTTTGAAAGTACATTTTGTGAAGTATCTTAAACGACATATCGTAAATTTATTTACCCACGAGCAAACGTCCTTCAGAAAGCATGATACGCGCTTTTAGCTATGACAGTAACTATCATATATGGCAAAATATAGACATTCCTTCTTTAAAATATGAGTTATGCATATATCGCGATACATGTTTCGTGAGTTTGTGATGTGAAAAGGATATGACGCTCCTTGAACACTTGAAAATATTCCTTGAGTAGCCATCTAGCTGAAAATTAAAGCCTTGGAAATTTTCGGAATATCGGCATTTTTCTCAACATGTGCTAGATAGCTCATCCTCAACGAATTCATTTAAAGTCAATTTCTAAGATAAAAGATAAAAAAACAGCCACAAATGTAGAAAAAAATGGATTCGATTTATTCAGTTTAAGAAGATTAGTTTTACATCAACGTTTCGCGCGSTTTCATTTTCTAAGTCGACGCAAAAAAATTCATAGCCAAACCTAATGACAGAGATTCTAAATTAAATCRCTTTTTATACCAAACGCTGCGAATTTCTCAATTATTCGGATTATCCAACACATGATTACATATAAGTAGAGAAAATTAATTTTGAGGTACAAAATTGGGAGGAATCAAAACGTTTTCTGATACTATATGAACGGAGATTTTGCATTCCTCTCGCTTGCTCCATTGGAAGCAGCTTGAAAAAAGTGATGTCGAKGTATTAACTATTTATCTAGCCGAGTATAATAGTGTTGGGAATAAAGGAGATCTAAAAGAATTAACAATCTTCATATTGTAAACAAGGTTTTCAGTTGTTGGTGATATAATTTACATTCACAATGTAGCGAGAACATTGGGTGAGAAACCTACCAATGCGCGAGTTCAAGATCGTTTCTTATTTTTTATCTCTTAAAACCCAGAGAAATAATCTTTGTGTTTAGTAAACATTTCGACAATAACAGCGAATGCATAATTACATACGGAGTTCGACTATTCTAGATCTTTTCTTTGCTGTTGTTTAATAAAATTAAAGGAAAATAGTTATCTGAAAACTCGATTTTAATAAAGTGAGCCAGTCAGTGCTTWGTATTTGAATTGAACTAAATGATTCCGCCTTAAAWTCGAGTTGTTTTAAGGAATTCCGCGAGGAAATGGTGTATTTACTATAAGCTTACCTCGAAGCTAGGCTACCACCGTGTTTTGCGAGCCATTTTAGACAGGAGAGAAASCCTCTGTACGCGCAGTGATGGACCTGAGACAGGCCAGAATCGTCAAGCTGGTTTGGACGTAAAATTCTTCTTGAGTGATGATCTTTGAGCCATTTTAAATAATTTACTTCCCTCAAACTCATCAAATCAACTTGTTCAGCCTTTCAATAAGGTTCTCAAGTAAACGGCGGAGCTCTGAATTGAATTGTGTGTAAATTCAGTTAATRTAGTCATCGACGAAGCGACGGCATTGTGTTCTTAAGAATAATATCACGAAATTCCTCTCCCTTGAAGAGTTGCTTTTTCCCACTTTTTCAAATCCGGTCTGTCAATAATGACTCATTGTCAAATTCCCTTAGTYTCCTCACGTTTTGCTTTAGAAGTAAATAAAARGSCTCTTTGTAGAAATACCCGAAGAAAAGGTAGTATTTCTTGAGATGATTACAACGTGGCTACACAAACTGCAAAATCATACAGTCATAAATWATTGATAAATCTCTCGCGGGGGTCATTGGAGATCTCAAGGATTTTACCCAAACACTCGTTCTATTGTTTGGGTTGTGCTCCAATAAATAAATCAACGTGATCCACTATTGTRCCGTTCACCTTGAATTGAACTCGTCATCGCTTGTAAATTTCGATCATTCGATTTAGATTCGAACACTTGATCAAAGATTCGCCACTCGATCGAATCACTTAATGTCAAAATTGAAATGAAATAGAAAAACGTGAATGGAATTCTTTATATTCATAATGAGAAGATTTACATTCCACCAGAATGTACTCTTTGAGAATGCCTTCAGTTGCACCTTTTATACTAATATTAATTTTACCTGCTCTTTTAATGCATTTTTCCGCGTGTCACAACAAATAGTCAATTTTCATTTTTTCCAGCAATGATTTCCCACCGYGMTGACTAATAAACATTGTTTTCGATAAGATCTTTTTTAGATCTTGAGGAATTCTCCATCCGGTTCGTTCACCGTTACGTGCTTTTTCTAGCCAAATAAGGAAYGATAAAATCRTCAGGTTTTTACTCAGTTGGATTCGAGTTATGTTAAAATGGATTTGGTCATTCGTTGATGACGACCTAAAGGAATTTTCCTTTCTTATATCTTATCAGATTTCAAGCTTCGTCAAAGTAAATGTAGATTTTAATACGATAGGACTATACCACTACACAGATATGCGGAAGAAAAGATCGTTTATCTGACTAAAACACGCGAGGGTCGACTATTATGCAACGTTATTTATAAAGCGTCCATTGATCGGTTTAGAAAGGGTGAATCTTGTATATTCAAAAAGGACACTCAAAGTCTTGCCTTTAAAATCACTAACTCGGTAGTCGCAATGTGCATTTGGCTATGAAAAAAGAAAACCCTGAGACTCGTTGAGCTGCTAGAAAAAAGAAACAAAAATCAACGGACGAAGAAGAAGAAGAAGAAAAATACGCTTCGGGGTAGAAGAAGTATAGCGCATGCGTGCGTTTTTTAGACGTTGGRCCAGTAGTAGCCCAAGCATGCAATAATTCTGCGCCAAAGTTTGACACTGTCAAATTATAACCAGAAAAAGATTTTAAGTATAACCACAGCTCATTAAGCGAATGAATATTTTTCACCTTTTCCCCCATTCTTCCGCTTTATTCGTTTGTTCCCATTCACTATTTCAATCACTCCTATCATATTAAATGCTTCGGCCTGTCGTCGGATTACGAATGATACCGGAGATAATCGGAGAAGTCTCGACATATCGGGGAGCGAATTTGTATCATTTCCCGGGAGAGTTTGAAAATGGAAGGCTTGTTTACAATAAACGTTGACAACAAGCCGTATTTTATCCTAACCAAGCCAGAAAATGATTATGTAGAAGGCTTTGAGATAAAGCTATGCGATGGGMACAAAACATGGATGAATTCAGGTTTGAAAAGTGTAAATTTTCTACTTTATTGTAGCCATACATTTCTTGAACCTAAGAAATCTTGGCAGTTCAGGTTCACGCCTGTGATCAGTTAAAATGAATTAGTTTAAAGTTATAAGACTTGAAATAGTAATTTTTGAGGAATAATCGATGCATAAGGGAGCAAATAAAAGCACATTTAAGATTAAACTTGTGGCTTTGTTTTGATAAAGTTCAATGTTTGTAAACATGCCTTAATTTTGTTCTCGCAATAAGCTACAATATAAGTTCATATTCCGTGTTCTCTGGATTTTTGGTGGGTCTTTATTTCAAGAGTATTACATAATGGTTACTAGAATAATGTGTGGTCGTTTTTTAAATACTCTTTAAACACATTTAAAACTATTTCAAAGTAAGCTTTTATACAGCATGATATGTTACAACTGTGAACTGAATGGCTTATCACTCAGCATTAGATCTCTGGAATACACTTTTGAAGTCTAAGGCAGACAACCTGAATACCTGGTGCAGGTAATAGGAAAGGTTTATAAAGTCTTAATCCAAGCAATAAGTTTGCCAGGAATTTATCTGTTGCATAAAGTTTCGGACAACAAGTCACCCAAGAGAAACTCCTACAAACCCCTAAAAAAACCCAAAACAAGACAGAAAGGCAAAGTACATACTCAGATCATATTAAGGCCCTGTTTACATGAGATAGGGTGCCCCTATGAAAACGACACTTGTAATATCATGCCTGTTTTCATGGCAAACAAAAAATCTCCACTTTTTTCACTTAATGTCAAACTACATGTAGGCTGCACGATGCATGATTATTGTAGTTCAATGTCGCATCTATTTATTAAAGTGAAGTGAAGAATGCAGCTCCTACATGGCAGGACTTAACTCCTTAGTTTTCTTTTCCCTGGAGGATTGAAAACTGAAAAGAGTTTGGCTCTACACCTAGGGGTGCCCTATCTCATGTAAACAGGGCCTAAGTTCCCTGCACTGAGAATGGAATYAGGACAAAACGATTAACAGATATGTGTTTGTTTACTGTACATGTAACAGTTTCCAAGGAAGATGTGTCAACAATGTCCAGTGCAGTTGATATGAGTGAAGAAGAATACGCAAAACAGACAAAAAATGCTTTGACAGGTTTGCCATCAAGGGACACAAAATACGTCTACCAAGTGAAAGTTCAAGGCAAAGTCTTAAATGTAAGGATATCTACATGTATACAAGACAACATTTTTTCGTTTGCAAAAGAACATTAACAGGACTACTTACTTACGTAAGATTTTGTTTACAGTTTGCTTGGAAAAAGAGTCTTGATGATGGCCTTAAGGTCAGTGAATTTTCACAGTCATATGCTATATAATTGTAGCAAGATCAAGCAATTTAAAAAGATTGTTAATAATTGTTCAATCCAAAGATTTCATCATAGTGTATAGGCACAAACATGTACTTTTTACTTCGTTATGTGATTCTGCTGAAGGACAAACTTCAGTACCAAAGAATCAATACAATACAATACAATACAATAAACTTTATTTAAGGAGGGTGACACGATTAACCCAAAGAGTTATCTAACACGTGGCCCTCACACTACTGAAACAATTACAAAATATAAGAAATAATATTTACAAATAATGATATAAADTATACAAATTGTGATATATAACTAAGACAAACATTACATAATACATACTATAATCAAAAAATTGAGCTAAGGAGGCGCCGTACATAAAGCTCAATCAATCATTAAAAACTATTGTCTTTTTACAAACTTGTGCTTTATGCATGGTGCGTCAACTTGATTCTTGATACTGAAGTTTGTTCTTCAGCAGAATCATATGTTTTACAGCTGAGGCAAAATGTGCAAGTCATCTTGTGTGTCTGATGAGAGCTCTATGATCTCTGTAGTTTCAGCTTGGATCATTGACGTTASACGAAATGGATAACAATGCAGTCGCAATAATGGATATGTTTGTTATTGCTGTTAGGCAAATCAATCAATTCAAGGTAATACCTTTTACAGGCAACTTCATAATGACTTCAGTACTCAAGATTTCATTCATGACAAACCATGCACGTCATAAACTTTTTAGTTATGTTGAGAAATAAATTCTACTTAACTGTAATAGGCAGTTTTGAGATTTTTATGTCCTGTAATTGGTTCGCGATAGTAAGTCCTACATGCTTTTGGATCATATAGTACATGTAGTTTCAACTYGGTTGCATTCTACGTAATCGCTTTTTTTATTTTAAATCTTTATCGTTATCTTTCATTGAAAACCCAAATGGTTCGACCAAAACGTCAATCAATATTCCCTGGTTGTGGAATATCAAAATCAGAGCACAAATTTGGTCCTACAAGCCATTCTTGCACTGGACCAGATGATGACATTGCCGATATTCAAATCAAATGGGGATGAATACTGCAAAGATACAAAAATGTCTAAACGTTGTAGATTTAACTGCAGTCATCTGTTCAGGCTGATGTTTTTAAGTTTTATTTTAAGGTGAATATCACTCATCTTGAATCTGAGAACAGCAGACTTTCAAGTGAAAGAGGACGTACATTAGAGGTAAAGATTATTTGAAGAAATGTGAAAACAAGTTGAGCACACATAGGAGTTTAATAAAAGATGGCAAGATACAAACATTTAATTTTTTTTCAGCTGTTAGATAAATGCGTTAGTGAAAAGGACAATATGGAAAATGACTTATACTTCAAGGTAAGTCCCAAAGATGTCGTTCGTTGATAATCTCCTCAACTCAGTTGTACAAGGGTGGATAACGCTATCTTCTTTTTTCTACTAGTTCAGCRTAATACTGCTTGCCCTAAATTCTGTTCAAAATGTATTTTTTACAATCAAGCTTCGTAATCTTTAAATAAAGGCCAAATATTAGTGGCAAATGGTGGCTTAATTATAATTTCAAAACTATTGTGTTTTCAAAAACACAAATCAGAAGGTATCAGCCACAAAGTTTTAAAAGATAATTTCAGATCATTCAAAGTTTTAATTTAGTGCAACTGAATTACGAAAAAAGTATCATGACTCCTAATGAAAATGAGATCAAAACAATGCGTTTGTCATTTGATCAGTTTTACATTTGATCCAGACTTAAGACGATTGCTAAAGTTTATTTTTTAAATTCTTCTTTGTAAAGTTTGCATCAGTGCTCAACAAGAARAAAGAGAAGATAAGACAGTTGAAATCTCAAGGTATATGAAGATTAATGATTGGATTAATTATTAAATAAATGAATGGATGGGATGAATAGTTGAACTTTTGTTATTAATACTCCAGTTTCAAATTGATAGCCAAAAACCGCTGCTTTATTTGACTACAGATTCTCTTGCGCAAAGACCTGAACAAACACAAAAGGGAGCACGAGAAAATTTTGTTTTTACAATAGCCTTAAAAATTTGCATTTTCCCCGAGTTGAGACTAACCCTGTATTCCCATTATAAGACTTAAGGTATGGGCCTTCTGGGAATGCAGGGTTAGCCTCAAATCGGGTAAAATGTAAATTGTCAGCGCTATTGTACGTAAAAACATTTTCTCGTGCTTTCTTTGTGTTTGGTAAGTTCTTTGCGTAAGAGAATCTGCTGTCAAATAAAACAGTGGTTGGTCGCTTAGAATTCGAAAATGGAGTGTTGTTCATGTGGATATTTTTGGAAACATCTTTAGTTGAAGATATGGATAGGGATGACACAGATGGAAGAACAGGCAAGAATCAGGCAAGAGCAAGGTATGTGTAATCTATTATATTTTTATCTTGTATATTTATTATATAAGTTGTTTAACTGTTATACATTTTTTTACCTTTAAGAAGTCCAATGTCAAAGAGCTTAAGCAGAGTAGGTATTTTGTTTTCATTATGCTTTCAGAGCTTCATTCCATGCCTGTCTGCCTTCCTCACTCCCTCCCTCCCTTAAATCTTTCCATTTTTCTTTCTTTTTACCTTTCTTTCCTTCACTGCCTCCCTCCCTCCCTTTCTAACCTCTTTCTCTTTCTTCCTTATTTTTTCTTTCCTTCCTTCACTGCCTTCTTCCCTCCTTTCCTAACATCTTTCTCTTCCTTCCGTCTTTCTCTTCCTTTCTTCTTTTTTTCTTTCCTTCCTTTACTCCTTCCTCCCTCTTACCKTTCTTTCTTGTATACCGCATTTATGCATCTCAGCCAATGTAAAACTATTGTTTCATGATCTGTCATTTAATTGATAGAATTAAATTAAATCTTTCTTCTTTTTTAGACTCCCTCACCGTCTCTCACAGACAACGAAGAGACAAAAGATGAGAAGACAGAAGAAAAGCCATCAACATCAAGCAACTTGTTTCCTTCAGTGGA